CATACAGATACATACCTTCCTCTTACACTGATGTCTACCACAGTCCCTTGTGGTGCTACATTGTGACATACAGATACATACCTTCCTCTTACACTGATGTCTACCACAGTCCCTTGTAGTACTACACTGTGACATACAGATACATACCTTACACTGATGTCTACCACAGTCCCTTGTAGTACTACACTGTGACATACAGATACATACCTTCCTCTTACACTGATGTCTACCACAGTCCCTTGTGGTACTACATTTTGTGTCACACAGATACTCCTTGCAGCAAGGGATCTCTTTCTGCTTCTGTCCACATCGACATTTTTTCTTTATCATTTGGCGACACTGCATGAATATAGCATATCACTTTGAGTTAGATCACCAGTGTGATACAGTATCACTGTGTCGAAAATCATGTTGTGAACCAACTATATTAAGTTTGTGTAAATATTAAAAAAGTAATCATATCACATACAACATTTACAGTTTGTATTTAGATAAAACAATATCTGTATGAGGAAACAACGACTATCTTTTTTATGCTTGTTACAGAATGAATAAAATGTCATATTTCGAATATGAAATTCAACATCAAATTCATACTTCAGTATTCATATTTTCAATTAATATTTTATTGTTTGACATTTGAAGACTAGATTTGGTGGGTAAGACTACACTTACTGTTCCACAAGGCCCCACATGACAGCGCTGCGAACATTCATGGATTCCACAGTCCAACAACTTGCCACAGGTGTCACCACAAGTTGGCACATCTTCTGTACACGGCAACATGTATTCTGCAATGTTGAATGATTGTGTTAAATTTATCCCTCAATTTCAATCAATATTGTTTTCAGTATGCAAACAATACATTAACTTGAAGGTAATTCCAGGCTTTAGTTTTCACAGAAGATCAATTATCATTTAATTTATTTAAAAGATCAAATAATGAAAATAAATGAAAAACACCATCATACTATATTAATAGACAAAATATTTTTGAACAGACATGTCAGTATGTCTATCCTCGGTCCTACCTGTCTTTTCACATGGACACGTCCTGGCCCCAGCCCTAGGACATGAACCACAAGTTTCGCTGTGACAACTTCTTTCACAAACATGGCTACCACAACTCAGTCTTTTCCCACAAGCCTGTTGAACAGAATTATCATTATCATTATGATCACCACCATATGACCAATGAATACATATTATTTTACTTCAAATATAATGGAAACACAATTACCTTAGTTTTTTGAATTCAGAAATGTCTTACCTATCACAGTTTCCAAATATAAACCATTTATATAATACGCTCATGTGCATAATCACAGGAAACAACTCAAGCAATTATGTGATGTTTGATCTGAAAGTTAGAACATAAACATCACGTTGTACTAGATCAAAACACCTCAGTACCAAAACACTGCCTATTGTTCCTATATATGAAGGTTCTTCTATTGTATAATACATAATTGCTCTCTCCCAAGAATATCTATATGTTGTTTTCAGGATAAACTTTTGGTCAATGTTGTCATCCAATCACCTGTAATTTTTAATCTATTCCTACCTGTGCACACTGCCACTTGGGTGTAGCACATGGCCGTACTGAAGATGACTTTCCACACTGACATTTCTGCTCACTGGTTTTAGGGCAAGGGGCACAGTCACCTGTGAAATAGAAGAATATGTGAAATAACACGTGTTAGGATAAACTGTAGTGCACGTAGTTATCTTTCTATGCTGTTGATGTAACTTGATTTAAATGTAGCTCTGTGTCTACAATAGTGTAGAGATAACACTTACCGGCATGACATGGTTGTTGACACTTGTGATGGCCACAAGTCAGAGTTTGGCCGCATGGCTGACCACAAGCCCATGTCTTAGCACTACACCTCTTGACAACAGGTACTTGCTGACCACAGTAACATCGAGTCTTGACTGTCTTTGGACACGGTGGACATGGACCTGCAATAACAACATTACAACTATTTCTGTCCTTCAAATGATATTTCACATATTATTACTTAAAATACTACACTTGATAGCTTATATCAAACACAGATAAATCCATACCTACTATCACTATCATTTGCTCTAATAATTTCCAATTTATGGAAGCAGGAGACAGGTATATATACAAGAGATTGTATTTGATGAATGACAAAGAAGCAGACAAGTGTGCCTTTCTGGGATTGCTTTTATCATGGCAACAGAGCAAAAGAAAGGTATCTTCACAATGTGATAAATTCTTGTCTCACCTTAGGTTTGAGATGAGGGAACTTCCCAGTAATAATATTAACAATGCCATGGATGACATCATGACTAAAAAGTGTTGACTGAACATTAATATTGAGTAACAGGAAATAGAGAAGTGTGCTTCACTGGGGATCGAACATGTGGCCCCAGATACCCAGTCCACCATTCTATGGGTCAACCTAAAGGAAATTTCCTGACACGAAGCTAGAAGGCAACTGTGATCTTATGTACAACTAGAACACTGACAGGTCAGTAAGGGCCCCGTCTTGGGCAATATATCCCCCATAATCATCAAGAAGCAATCTGCCCATATAGCTGAGCTTGACGTTTGACATTTGGACTTCAAAAAGAATCGCAAGGAAGCAAAATATACATTTTACATGTACTATGATTTGAGTCTTGTTTCCTTCCACCTCCATATTTGCTGGGCTAACAGAAATGTAAATACCGGTGCGATACTCATTTGTTAGCTTTGATTTGTTTTATTTCACCTTTAATACCTCCTACATCAAGAGCCAGGGTCAAAGTCAGAGATCCACTATGTCTTTGACCTTTGGACCCAAATGACATTGACCATTAACCCAGTGACCCTGATTTTTGGTCAGTTGACTTATTCTTTAATTCTGACTAACTTTGCTTCTTAATATCATAACAAAATGTTCATCAGTGAAAAATACAAAACTTGACCTTGACCCTTTGGACCCTGTTACCTGGACCTAAAATCAGTAGACTCTGTGCTAAGTTCTGAACAACATTGCTTCATAATGTCATAACAAAATGTTCATCAGGAAAAAGGTATAGAATTCAATCTTCACCTTTGACCCAGTGACCTTGACCTTTGGTCAATTGACTCATTGTTTAATTCTGAGCAACATTGCTTCAAAGTGTCATAGCGAAATGTTCCCCAGTGAAAAGATACAAATTTTAACCTTGACCTTTGACCCAATGACCTTGACCTTTGATCAGTTGACTCCTTGTTTAATTCTGATCAACTTTGCTTCATCATGTCATAACAAAATGTTCATCAGTGAAAGTATGCCAAAGTTGACCTTGACCTTTGAATCTAATGACCTTGACCTTTGACCTCGACTTTTTACCTCAGTGGGTCTCTTTGTTTAATTCCGAACAACTTTGCTTCATAATGTCATAGTGAAATGTTCACCAGTGAAAAGCTACAAAATTTGACCTTGACCCCTGACCCCTGACCCAATGACCTTGACCTTTGTTAATTCTGATCAACTTTGCTTCATGTCATAACAAAATGTTCATCAGTGAAAAGATGTAAAATTTGACATTGACCTTTGAACCTAATGACCTTTGACCTTTTACCTCAATGTGTATTTTTGTGAACTGAACACCTTGACCAAGTTTCATGTACATCGGTCAATAAATACCAAAGTTATCAGCCAGGAACAAAATTTGTGGACGGATGGACAGACAGACAGACAGACAGACAGAGTGATTACTATAGGGCACCCATATCTCCGATACGGGGCCCTTATTAAAACCTGCCACAAGTACATGACCGGGCCAAAAGAGTAAGAGAAAAAGAATTCTCTCCTCCTCCCTTGGGGGCGAGATGTGGGGATATCAACTTTTCGAGGAAGTTTCTTGAGTTGCCAAACATGTGACAAGCCACATGGCAACTAAATAATCCGCCTTCTAGGGTCATGATCCCCATCTCACGTCAAAGAGCCAAGAGGGAGATAGGTTCTGTTTGTTTTTACTCGTATAACAGAGTGTGTGTACCAAAGATCATTTTTACCTGGATGACAAAGCAGCAGACAGGTGTGACCACACTCAGGTTTGAGCTGACGTCCACAGGTCTGACCACAGGAGTGAGGAACTAACCAGGGGTCAAACTTGGGGTCCTCTTCTCTCCCACAGAAACACATGTAGCGGGTTGGGCACTCATACGGCTTGTACTCCAAGCGACACTTTGGACTGAAAGAATGTAAGATTATTTTACTCCAACGTGAGGGTACCAAAAATAGAATACTTTTTGAAGACAAGAGGCCCAATGGGCCTGCATTGCTCACCTGGTATTCAATGTTCATCACAAGTACAAATTGCTTGGCATTCAATTGGGTGTACTCAATTGATTAAAACCAACTTCAAATTGGAAACATATACCAGTCAAAGCCTTTTGAAAATTCTTTTAAAGTCCTTTTATGGTTTTAACCAATTTGACTTTGACCTCTGTGACCTAGCTTGAATACCAGTCAAGGTTATTTAATTTACGCAAAATTTTTCAAGCTTAATCATAATAACATAGTACCCAAATAAAATTATTTTAGTTAGGCCTTTCGGTTAATCAGAAGATGCTGTTTAAATGGCTTCTAGGAGCTTTTTTTTTTTTTAATTTTTGTTTAATATTGTTAGACGTCATAAGTCAAATACTAATAATGACTTCACAACTTTCGGTTGATCAGTAGAAGTGGTTTTAACATTCTAATAAATAAGAACCTTGTAGGGCTTCATCTCATGAATCCATCAGCCAAATATCATGCTTCTAGGCCTTTTGGTTAATCAGAAATACAGGTAGTCATTTAAAGCTTTTAACAAAATAGACCCCTGTGACCTTGAATATGGGGTCAAGGGCATTTCTTTTATCAAAATTTGTTGGCCTTCATGCTGTATAAGAACCTACCAGCCAAATATCAGGCTGGTGGACCTTTTGGTTAATCAGAAGTTGTTTCAAGGTTTTAACAAATCTGACCCCTATGACCTTGAATATGGGTCAAGGTCATTTCTTTTTGCAAACCTTGTCAGGCTTCATCCTAGAAACTTATTAGCCAAATATCATGCTTCTGGGCCTTTTGGTTAATCAGAAGAAGTTGTTTAAAGGTTTTAACAAATAAGACCCCTGTGACCTTGTTTATGGGTCAAGGTAATTTCTTTTTGCAAACTTTGTTGGGCTTCATCCCAGCAACCAACCAGCTAAATATCATGACATTTGACCTGTTGGTAATTGAGAAGAAGTTGTTTAAATGGAAAAATTGACGCCGGACGGACAGACGTACGACGGATGCCTCGACACTTTTTTAGCTCACCTGGCCCTTTGGGCCAGGTGAGCTAAAAAAATGTATATATTTCTTATTTAGTTGCTGAAACATTAATTATTTTACTTTAATAAAACAACAGATACCTTTAGGTGTCATTACATGAATTTCTTTGGTATTACCAGCACCTTTGTGCAGTCACAAATGATGCTAATGGAAGATGTAGTAGTTTTTGTGGTAACGTAAGACATCTCGAACTTGGTCAATATCTAACAACCAATTAGAAACGGTGGCAGTCATGCTGGATGACAAATCCAAAAACAAAACATCATTTAAACACCGCTTTCCATTAACAAACACTTACGATTTTTCTTGTTAAATTCTGCCCAATAGTTTTAGAGAAAAGTGGCAGAAACCTCTTTGATGGGAGAAAGTAGAAGAAATAAGAAACTGAGCAAATTTTGTTGTGGGGACTTAAAACAGTATCTATTAATACCACTACCACAGTAAATCGCATGGTAGATGATTGGTATACTGACAACTTACCACTACCATGGTAGGTCCTATGTTGACTAACCACTTACCAATACCAGGGTCGATACTTGGTACATTGATAACTTACCAATACCAGGGTCGATACTTGGTACATTGACAACTTACCAATATCAGGATAGATACTTGGTACATGGACAACTTACCAATACCAAGGTAGATCCTTGGGAATATGATCCTCCTCTGACCGGTACATATGCTGGTACACACCTTCCTTTACCCACTTCTGTATACACTGCATGTGGAACATTGCACAGCAGCCCTTACAGTTCCAAATCTGTAAGTATACAAATTCCAAACTATATTGGTCATAATTCTTCCTACTGATAAATTCAATAAGTTATAGAAGGCAATTCTTAATATGTAGAATCTTATTCTCATTTGAGGCCGTCTCTACCAACATTTTAAACTTGTTAACATAAACAGCAAAGAGGTCAAACTTATTGCAAAGTTATAGAAATAAAAGCACTTAAATATTCACAAGTAAAAATCACATAAGTTTTCAGTGTTAACCCTTTCATGATCACCACTGTAGACCATAATGGACTCATCCATATCAATACACAGTAGAGTCTACTAAAGTTACTTAGGGGTGAAAGGGTTAAGAAATATATTTTATGGCTGTTATATAATATAGCACTCACAGGTTCATTCTTCTTTATTGTCTCTATACAGACGAGGCAGGCCGACACGCCGGACCTGAAGGAGTAGACCAGGTCCTCCTGGGCTTGGTTGATGTCCTTCTCATCCTCACCTAGTCAACAATAACCAGTTGTATAATACTTACTTTAGGCCCATGCTCATTAGTAAGCCCCTGCTACTCCTCCCCAACATATATTTATAACTGGGCTATCACTTTTCATCAGTATATATATAATGCGTCACCAATTTGTATCCTTCTATAGAAGAGCTACACATTTTCAAATATCAATACATGCAGACATTTTTATTTTTATGCACCACAAACAATATCTGTACTGAAGAGTAAAATTTTGAGAGTAACTGTCATTTTATAAGTATAAAAAACAATTAATATTTTTTCTCATAAATGAGAGTATTTGTTTTGTTGCACATTACTTGAACTCCTTATAAATGCTGCAACCTTATAAACACCACAGCCTCTCGACTGTGGCAAAACACTGCTTAAGGAAACATTTAATCTAAAACTTGATAGCTTTTTTTTTTATCAAAGTCCAGTTAATCTGGACATTGACACCAGGGTGTTGCATATGCATAAGCCCCCACCCCAATCCTTAGTTCTTCGAATAAGTGTGCTATTGAAGATATTCAATATAATTTCCTTCTGTATACAATGCCTTAACATACATACCAATAGAGGAAGAATAGGATTTGAAGACAGAAGAGAGGATATTATTGCCGATGTCATCCTCGTCCTCTGAAGAGTCATTGTCGTTGGACTGTGGCTGATCCTGAAGATACTGCTGTATGGCTTGTTGGTGCTGTACACTGGCCTGACGGAACTTCTCACCACCGTCTCCTTTCTCCTCGATACTATCTCCTTTCATAGCACCACTGTCGCCTTTCTTCCCACTTTTGTCTTGTTTCTTTCCTCTGGCATCTCCTTTCTGGTCTGGAGGATAAACAAGAGGCCCATGGGCCTTAACGGTCACCTGAGTCTACAATATTTTTTGTTGTTGTTGAAATATGTACCAATTTGAGTAAAAAATAGTATAATGTTAACTTAACTTTGTCAGGACCATGAGCTGATCATTCCTAGACCAATTTTAAGTGAGATCG